TTTTTTAGTGATTTCCTATTATATTAAACTCTTGAAATTAAACAACCAATTAATTACAACCTTGACTGCATTGTGCAGGCAAATATATTTTAAAAGGGACTCCTACAATGTCAACACTAAAAAAATTTTAATTTAAAAGTAGTATTTTTTAAAGCCCACCTAAAGTATGCATCCTCTGAAATACAGCTTTTGTCTTATATTTCTTCTTTTTTTTACTGTCACATTTCTGAAATCTAAATCACTGGATCCAAGACTTTTGGACTTTCTGGACCAGAAAATTATTTTTAAAAGGAGAGGGGGTAGGCATTGCAGAGAGAAGTCAATATTGAGTTGCCAGGTTTCTCTTTTGCAAAATACAGGTATATTTTGTTACAAGATACCTTCCAACTCTTCTCTCCATGATTTCTCACACAAAGGGTATTTAACATTCGAAGGGACAATCTTGGCTGTCTTTAAATCAACATATTTAGTTGTAAAGCAGTTATACCATTCATCTGGTCATTCACTCAGCTACTACTTACTGCAACACATACTAACATACTATGTACACTACTCTGGGTTCTGGAGATACAGCAATGAACAAAGAGGTTAAAAAAAAACACACCTCATATTACATCCTAGTGAGGAAACTTATGAATAAAAAAAAGCAAAATATTTATTTTGAAATAATAAGTGCTAAAGAGAAAAATAAAGGAGAGAAGAGAATAATTAGTATTGTGGGGGACAGTTCCCAATTTTAGAAATAATGGCCAGGGAAGGAATTTTTCTGAAGGTGACATTTGAGACCTAAAGTAATGAGGGACCGAGACTTGTCACTATCAGGGGGAGGAGCATCCTGAGAAAGGAAGCAGCCAATGCAGAAGGCTGATAGAAGGAATGTGTGGGGCATGCTCAGGTAGCACTAAGGAGACCAGTGGGTGAACAAGGGAAGGCAGTAGGAGATGAGAGACTTCACACAAACCAGGGCATACAGGGCTTTGCAGGCCATTATAATGACTGTCCCTCTTCCTGTGCTTCAATTAGAGAATGACATGATCCTACTTGTTTTAACAGGCTCATTCTGGCTTTCTGGTGAACAGATAGACTCTGCGGAGGGGAGGGGGAAGGTGGCAGAGTAGGAAGTTAGAAGCTCCAGAAGAGATGTTGCAGTGGACCAGGGGGCAGAAGTGGAGCTGGTGATCAGTTTCTGAATACATTTTGAAGGCTAAGAGATGAAAAGAGAGGTAAGAAAAAGTCAAAGCTAACTCAGAAATTTTTACATTGAACAACTAGAAGAATGGAGTTCCCATTTACTGAGATAAGTTTATCAGTAGAAAGAATTTGAAGAGAATAACAGAAACCCCAGTTTGAACATTTATCAGACACCTAAATGTATATAGTCAGTCAGACATCTAAGTCTAGACACTGAAATGTATATACAAAAATATACAAGTCTGGAGTTGAGGGAGCCAATCATCAACATAGCGTTGGCATTTAAAACCAAAAGCTACATGAGATTACCATAGAAGAAACACAGATAGGAAAAAGAAGTTCAAGGCTGAGCCAGGAGGCACCCTGAAGTGTAGATCAAGGAGGAGAGGAAAAGCAAGGAAAAGCAAGCAGAGCAAATTGAGAAAGAGCAGTCGGTGAGGAAAGAATATGTGAGTTCTGAAGTCTAAGCAAAGAGAGTACATCAGAATAGACAGTAACCAATCATGTCAAATGCTGCAGCTAGGTCAAGAGGAAGTTTAGGGATTGACTAATGGATGTAACAGTATAGAGGTAATTAGAGACCCAGATCATAGCAATGGGGTGGGAGTGGGAATTAAAATCTAATTGGAATGGGTACAAGGAAGAACTGCAGGAAAGGAAGAATATAGAAACCGCTTTCAAGAGTAAGGGCAACAGAAAATGCTGTAGGAGTCAGAGCAGTAGCTGAGGAGGAAATAGGGTCAAAAGAAGATTGGTCTTTTTGTGGGTTTATTTTTTAATGGCAGTAATAATAGATTTTACTCTAATGGAAACAATTAAGCAGAAAAAGAAAGAATTCAGGAGAGAGAGGGAAGAATACCTCGAATGATGTTCCTGAATGAACAACATATACATGCACAGGAACTAGAGCTTTAGGCACAAATGATGATGGGCAGGTAGGTGTGGCTGTGGAAGCCCAGGGAGGTTCTCTTTTGATTGCTTCTGTTTGCTTATAAGAAATAAGCAGCAAGGCCATTAGCTGAGAGGATGGAGGAGTACTGAAGGTCTGAGGGCAAGAGAGAAGGCTCCAATAGTTGAGATGAGAGCAGACATTCATTCACTAGGGAGGAACAGCGTGACTTCCAGGCAGTGCTAATGCTCCAGCTGAGGTTTGTGATCATAAACGTAAAGTAAAACCAGCCGGCAAAGCAGAAAGTTGGTTTTAACTAAGGCTGTCATTTAGCCCAGAAGAAGCAAGAGAGGGAGGGAGGCTAAGGTTTATGCAAGTGACTACAGAATGGAGCTGGGAAGAGAGGGGAATGAAGACATGAGTATAGCGAGGGGCAATGAAGCAGTGCTGGTATCACTGGGGTCCAAGGATTAGTGTAATCTGGGCACTAGGCGAGAAGAAAGGGCAGAGAGTGGAAACAAATCCTTATGTTCCTATTTCAAAGGGGACTGGTAAAAAGTTCACTAGAGGCAGAATTTAGAAATTGCTCACTGTTATTCATCACTTCCTTCTCATTCAGTCCTTAGCCACAGATCTGCCTTCCCCACCACCAGCCATTTCATTTCACTAATACTATGCTACCGAAAGCCACCAATAATCCATCAGTCTCTCATATATTGCCTCACTTAACCTTCCTCTAGTCACTGGGCAGACAGTGAGCATCTCAAAGGCAGAAACTATGTGTTTTTGATCCAAATATTCTAGGCAATACCTAGTCCAGTGCTCAACAAGAATGTAGCTATTAAAAAAAAATTCCTGCTCTTCCCCAAAGCGGCCATAGGTGACTTCTGAAAATGGTTCGCTATTCACTAGACCCAGAAAAACCCACAAAATCAATCACACCAATCAAGAGGCTCAAATCTCCGCATTCACTTTAAGAACACTCGTGAAACTGCCCAGGCCATCAAGGGTATGCATATTCCAAAAGCCACCAAGTATCTGAAGAATGTCACTTTATACATACATACATACATACATACATACATACGTACATACGTACCCCTTGACTGGAATTGAACCTGGGACCTTTCAGTCCGCAGGCCGACACTCAATCCACTAAGCCAAACCGGTTAGGGCAAGAAAGTCACTTTAAAGAAGCAGTGTGTGCCATTCCGTCATTACAACGGTGGAGTTGGTAGGTGTGCCCAGGCAAAACAGTGGGGCTGGACACAGGGTCGTTGGCCCAAAAAGAGTGCTGAATTTTTGCTGCACATGCTTAAAAATGCCGAGAACAATGCTGAACTTAAGGGTTTAGATGTAGACTCTCTGGTTGTTGAGCACATTCGGGTGATCAAAGCTCCCAAGATGTGGCATAGAACCTACAGAGCTCATGGGCGGATTAACCCATGCGTGAGCTCTTCCTGCCACATTGAGATGATCCTTACTGAAAAGGAGCAGACTGTTCCTAAACCAATAGAGGAAGCTACACAGAAGAAAAAGATACCTCAGAAGAAACTGAAGACACAAAAACCTATGGCCCGGGAGTAAATTCAGCATAAAATATATCTAAATAAAAGTAAAAGAAAAAAAAAAGAAAAAATTCCTTTGCCAAAACATCAAGGTCTGATACTGAGAGAATCAGGAAGTCACAAGAGAATTCAACTGTATGCAGTACCTATAGGGAACTCTCTCTCTATATATGTAAAATGGCAATTTTGTCTACATCTCAAAGTTAAGCTACAATATTTATTTTCAGAAAATTTTGATTTTAGATTTTCTGAAATATTTTTTCAAATTCCAATTTTAATTTTACCTCAATTATATGAAACTCAGCCTCCTTCCTCATCAAACAAGGAACAAATAGGAAAAAACCCAATCAGTAGCCTCCTCATTCTACAATTCACTTTTTAGTGCCCCCCTCCCCCCCGACACACACACCAGAGAACGGAAGAGAGATTCTGACCAACTTTAAAACATTCAGTCCCTGGTCTCAGCTATGGAACCAGTTCCCTGTCCAAATATAATGAAGAAAGGGGAAACTCCTGAGCTACCAAAGAAAGTGACGGTTTACTATATCTAAGACTTCCCTAAGTCCTTAAAAAGCTAACATCTCTATTTGGCTACAGCAAACTTTGTTGTTATTGGTGGGAAAGTTGTCCTGCATGAGACAGCCCTAACCAGTTTGGCTCAGTGGATAGAGTGTCGGCCTGGGATCTGAAGGGTCCCAGGTTCGATTCTGGTCAAGGGCATATGTCTGGGTTGTGGGCTCGACCCCACTGGGGGTGTGCAGGAGGCAGCTGATCAATGATTCTCTTTTATCATTGATGTTTCTATCTCTCTCTCCCTCTCCTTTCTCTGAAATCGATACATATATACATATATATATATATATTCTTTTTCTTTTCTTTTTTAAACAACAAAAAAACCTCATGGGACAGTGATGTTCCAAAGAGCTACTGTTTCAGAATAGTGCTCCCTCAGCCACAGAACACATGAGAATCCCTTGGGAAACCTTTTACAAATTACCTGCCAGCCTCCTGCCCAGAGTTTGACTTGACGAATGAGGTGGGTCCTAAGCAACTGTGCTCTCTAAAGGCTCTGCATTAGGAAGCACTCCTAGAGTGAGGACTACCTGGAATGCAAATCTTTACTGCTGCCTTTCCTTTATTCAAATATCTATCAGAAGTCCCAGCAACCTCCTGAAATCATTTCACCATTAGTTTAATTACTTTTTTATAGTGATATACTTAGGGTCGAATTTTCACAATGACTGCCCCACTTATATATAACATGGCATTCAGAATCAGGAAGGTGGTAGATTTTATTCCGCTGATAAACCCAATTCACCAGTAATGGTCAGTAAATGCAGAGCTGGCCTTACCCGTTCCACTGCTGCATTATGATATGGGAGCTCCTCCTCACTGCAGAGAAAAAAAAACAGTACATGTCAAATAGTCGCAGCAAACTTTGAAAAAATTATAAACCAATTATACACCACTGGAATGTGCTTACTAGGTAATTAGGTCAGCAGTGACACCTTGAATGTTATTTCTGGGGTAAGTGTACTGCCCTGGGCAAAACCAACCTTTTGTACAGCTGATCCTGACAACTGTTTATTTGAACATTCCAAACTGCAAATGAAGTGCTACCTATGGCTGCCTATCACAGGAGAAGTTTTTTGAAGTTGCTGGGTGAACTTCTTTGGTATCCTCCTATTTACTAAACAAGAATGACAGACCTATTCTCAAACCTGGTCTTAGATTTCCAATTAACCCAATATTTCACATAATTTCCCTGTGGCAACCCCACCAGGATCTGGTTGCCTATCCACTCCCCATATCATGATACCCAGTTACTGAACTCCTACTATCCAAACATTTTTAAATGTTCATTTTAAATTTTGTTTATTTAAAAATTAAGACACAATTGACATATAATAATGTGCTCCTTTTAGGCTATAACATAAGGATTTGATGTATGTATATATACTGCAAATGATTATATTAGGTTTAGTTAACATCTATCAGCAACCATGCTTACAGATTTTTTTTCCTTATGATGAGAACTTTTAAGATCTACAATATACAATATAGTATTGTTAACTATAGTCATTATGCTGTATATTACATTCTCAGGACTTACTTATAACTAAAAGTTTATACTTATTGAACACCTTCACCCATTACCCCCAACCCCCAGACATATGTCCTTGACCAGGAATTGAACCTGCAACCTCCTGGTGCATGGGACGATGCCCAACCAATTGAGGCCACACCAGCCAGGGCCCCAACATCATTTACTGAAGAGACTACTCTTTCCTCATTGCATATTCTTGCCTCCTCTGTCATATATTAATATGTAGGTTTATTTCTGGGCACTCTATTCTGTTCAATTGATCTATGTGTCTGTTTTCACACCAATACCATAATGTTTTGATTATTATAACTTTGTAATATAGTTTGAAATCAGGAAGTGTAATGCCTACAGCCTTGTTCTTGTACAAAAAAGAACAGCCTTGCCAAAACCGGTTTGGCTCAGTGGATAGAGCGTCGGCCTGCAGACTGAAAGGTCCCAGGTTCGATTCCGGTCAAGGGCATGTACCTGGGTTGCAGGCACGTCCCCAGTAGGAGATGTGCAGGAGGCAGCTGATCGATGTTTCTCTCTCATCGATGTTTCTAACTCTATCCCTCTCCCTTCCTTTCTGTGAAAAATCAATAAAATATATTTAAAAAAAAAAAGAACAGCCTTGTTCTTTGGTAATTTGGGGTCTTTTGGGATTATATAAAAATTTTGTAATTGTTTATTCTATTTCTGTAAGACAAGCCATTGGAATTTTGATAGGGACAGCAGTAAATCTGTGTATTGCTTTAGGTAGGATGGACATTTTAACAATGTTAATTCTTCTAATCCATGAGTATAGAATATCATTGCACTCATTTGTATCTTCTTCCATTTCTTTCATCAATGTCTTACAGTTTTCAGAGTACAGATCTATTACCTCCTTGGCTAAATTGATTCCTAGATATTTTATTCTTTTTGATGTAACTGTAAATAGAATTGTTCTCTTAATTTCTGTTTCTGATAGTTTGTTACTGGTATACAGAAACGCAACTAATTTTTTTGTATTTTGAGTTTGTATCCTGCAACTTTACTGAATTTGCTGATCAGTTAACTGGTTTTTGTTTGTTGTTTTTTTGGTGGAGTCTTTAGGCTTTTCTATATATAAGATCATATTATCTACAAATAGAGACAGTTTTATTTCTTCCCTTCTGATTTGGATGCCTTTTTTTTTTCCCCCTTGCTTTTTGCTCTGGCTAGGACTTTCAGTCCTATATTGAAAAGAACTGGCGAGAGTGGGCATTTGATCTTAGAGGAAAAGCTTTCGGTTTTTCCCCACTGAGAATGATCTCAGCTGTGGATTTGTTACATATGGCCTTTATTATGTTGAGATACAGTCCCCTCTACCCATTTTGAGAATTTTTTCATGAATGGATGTTGAATTTTGTAATAAGCCTTTAGAATTCATAGATGGATGACAGAGCTCAAGAATTTGGTCAATCCACATGGATTTTCATGCATTATTGCTCCATACTTAAGAGCTTTTATACAAAATCTGCTGTGTGTACAACACTCAGCTCCAAAAAACAATTCCTCCTCAAATCTCTGTAGTGGCATACGTTGATTTCCACAGCCTCCCAAGGAGAAAGCAGGGGAATACTGCCTTACCAATAGCTACACACAGTGTCTAGATATACATGTAAAGCACTGCACCAGCCTCAGGCACAGGTGCTGACATATTAAAGGAACACACAAATATTGCTGAATGAATATATGAAGGGGAGATGAATGCATGCCTGCATGCATGTGAGCATCTTTACCTTGTCACCTAAATATCCTTCAAGTAGAAAAAAAAAAAGGACCAAAATCTGGGTGAGTGGACTATTCCTTTAGGTCAGCAAACTACAGGCATGGATCAAATCCGGCCCACTGCCTGTTTTTGTAAATGAAGGCTTATTAGAACACTGACACACTCATTCATTTATGTATTGTCTATAGTTGTTTTCATGCTACAATGGTAGAGTTGAATAACTGTGACAAAGAGTCCATAAAGCCAAAAATATTTCATACCTGGCTTTTTACAGAAAATGATTGCCTCCCCCTGCTTGTTCTTAAAAAATATGTTTTTAGTAAATATCAAGTAAATTTAAAAAAAAGTGTCAGTATGAGAATTCGTATCAATTGGCTTCATTTTTAAAGAAGTGATGTAAACAAAAGTTTATGCTCTAAGGCAGTGGTTCTCAACCTTCCTAATGCCGCGACCCTTTAATACAGTTCCTCATGTTGTGGTGACCCCCAACCATAAAATTATTTTCGTTGCTACTTCATAACTGTAATTTTGCTACTGTTATGAATCGTAATGTAAATATCTGATATGCAGGATGTATTTTCATTGTTACAAATTGAACATAATTAAAGCATAGTGATTAATCACAAAAATAATATGTAATTATATATGTTTTCCGATGGTCTTAGGCGACCCTTGTGAAAGGGCCGTTCGACCCCCAAAGGGGTCGCGACCCACAGGTTGAGAACTGCTCCTAAGGGAAAGAAGCACCTAGAAGCTGCTCAAAGAAAACACCAAGCTGACAGTAAGAAGCTATGCCTCACAGAAACACAGTAAGTAAAAACAGCAACAACATAGTCACCCCTGGAAAGAGAGGAACTTTAACTGGATCTATCTTTTCATCTGCTATTAAATATAGAATTACTAATTAGAATATATGTGTCTGTAATTTTTCAGTAGTTCAGAGCATTTCTATAACTTGAAATAAACGTTCATTTGGAAACTTAAAATTTAACTTGTGCGAATCAGTTAAGCTGAATATACTGACTAAATGTTTTTTCTATTTTTGTAGTAGACTTATTCCAGTCAAAATTATTAGTTGAGTAGAAAGAGTTCTTAAGCCCTTGTCATCAAAAGAGATATTTTTAAAAAACAAAAACACCTTTATTCTGGCTTTCCAGTATTTATATAGACATCAAAAACTATAATCAGTTAAATTTTATAAATGTATGCTAGTACATTTTGATAACTAGTTGAAAACCTGAAGCTTGGTATTAATTTTATCTTTATTTTTGGTACATTCCCCTTCTAATTCTTCTATTAATAACTGTGACCTAAAAACATTATCTATCATTATCCAAATACCAAGCATTCCTTGTGAGCAGAGTAGCACTGGCTATTTTTGATAAAAATGTTGAAAGTTCTCTAACTTTTTAAATAAGCTCGAGTTCTCCACTCTCAGATACAATGCAATCACAGCATACAGACTAGGGATAGCACCCCATTTCTGAGTACTTAACAAAGATATTCTTGTCCCAGCATCAAGCCAAGCTGGTTTGGCAACAGTTTTCATATTTATTGTGAAATCTTTTATAAAACCAAGTTATTCCTGTACTGCATTTGTTAATTACTGTCATCCTTCCCCACATATCATAACAAGTAATTTAACTTACTAAAACTATAATTAGATATGAAGTCAGCAGCCTTCAGAGAAGGCTACAAAGTTAGTTTTTGCTATTGCATTGTATTGACATTGACACTTAAAACCCAATTTCATTAGAGAACCAATCAAAAATTTCAAAGAACTAAGACAGCAGAAAGAAATGCTCTTTTGATCAAGTTGTGAGAGGAAGCAATATCTAAACGCCTAGGCCATGTGACTTTATTCAATAGCGCTCAAAAACTCTAGTCTATAGTGACAGCAATAAAAGCCACCAGCAGCGACCTCTGTAGAAAGCGTTTTACTGAAATTAGACATTGTAACAAAAATCAATGACTTAGGTGAAATTTAATAAAGTCTAACATTACATTAAAATCCATTTCTATGCTTCATTATTTTCATTTCTGCTGCCTGCCTTGGAACTGCATCATAGAGTAAAGTTTTAAAAAATTACTATGTCAGTATGAGAACTCGTATCAATTGGCTTTGTTTTTAAAGAAGTGATGAGCTTAGCTATCTGAGCATACCTCAGTACATGTGATCAGTTCAAACAGTATCCCTCTCTTAGGCACCCTTTTTTTCTTTCTAGGCATTTCAAAGCCTTCTACTAGGTTTCTCTTATTAAAAACACAGGAGAGCAGAAAAGACAGTGCAACGCAGAAGTTCAGAACACAGGCTCTGCTGTAGGACTGCCAAGGCCCACAACCCAGATCTGACACTGTCAGCACGACTTGGGCAAGCTGCATGCACTCTTTGTGCTTCATTTTCATCTGAAAAAAATGATAAAAAAGAGTACCTATCTCACAGTTTTTTGAGAGAATAAATTAGTTAATCCATGAAAAGAGCATAAAACAGTACCTGTTACACAGTAAGGGCTCAATAAATATTAACTAATATTATTAAGACAGATTATTGACTGACTTTTTCTCCACTAGTGCCAAATGGACTGCAGCACAGAGAAAAAAACAACAAAATAACTGAGTACGATTTTTAGACTGCCAAGTACAGGCCAGAAACTCACTCAAGATGTTCACAGCAATGAGAAAAGAGAATTTAGGTAATTACTAGACCCTTTCCGGGAATTCACAGGTTTTTCTTATGTATTTTGTACTATATTAGACCATTTTATGATTAAACCATCGCTTAGAGTGGTTCACTCCCATCGGAGGAGGTCAAAATCAGCTGAGTTGTATTCCACCTGCTAAATCAAAATATGGGATAGACCCCAGAAATCTATTTTTAAAAAATAAACAGTTCCCAGCTGACTCTAATGTGCAGGCAAGTTTGGGATCCACTGATCTTGACCAGGCTAAATGATCAATTTGTCCTTCAAAGCTCCCTCACATACCTCAGATCTGCCTGTTAACCCACACAAATGTGTAATCATTTCCTGCCACATTGGTGGCCAACCTTGATTTACTTAAAAAAAAAAAGTGGAAGTGGAGGGTTAATTTAAGAACAGTATTTTCATCATAGTTAAATTCTACTCTGTTACTCTGCTGAAATTCAAAGTCTTCTAATTATAACTACTCAGGAGAACATTTGGGGTCTGCTAATGTCATGTCTTTAAATATAATAACAACACCTGATATTTGTCCAGACCTTTATGGAGTATTCTATCATTTTATGTCTTCAAAGCTTCCACGACACTGTCAGCAAGCAGAGTAGTTTTATATGAGGTATGAAATGGTTAACTGAGCCAGGGAAGACACAAGAAAAGCATATATTCTCTAACTTTCAGAACTGTTCTGTTTATCTATTTGCTTATTTTTCCCTGAGAAAAACATTAGACAACCAAATACTGTCTAAATGCAAGAAGACTAAACAGAAGGAGAGAACAAGTTCTGAGTACTATAAGTTCCTGCTATGAACTATACAAAAACCTGTATTTTTCCTTCAACATTTAATCATATATCATAAAATAAAAATATCTGGCTTCTTCCTATTTATAATAAACAAGACTGAAAAAATACATCTGAATGAGAAGTTAATCACTAAACTGTATGGAACCAAACACACCACATAAATGTAGAGAAGTATCCAGTCCATGGAAACCTGACTAGACAACGCCAGAATCAGAACAGGCAGATTCACATCATTAGCAGGATGTTTCTAAGAGTCAAAATCCTTTTAACCACTCTATTTTGTAATGGTCTAGACCAGTGGTTCTCAACCTTCTGGGCCTTTAAATACAGTTCCTCAGGTTGTGACCCAAGCATAAAATTATTTTCGTTGCTACTTCATAACTGTAATTTTGCTAGTTATGAATTGTAATGTAAATATCTGATATGCAGGATGGTCTTAGGCGACCCTTGTGAAAGGGTCGTTCGACCGCCAAAGGGGTCGCGACCCACAGGTTGAGAACCGCTGGTCTAGACCACTGTCAATTCTTTATATAGTATATTCAGGATGAATGGAATTAATTTTGAGAAGCAAATGCCTAGCTGGTGTGGCTCAATGTCAACCTATGAACCAGGAGGTCAAGATTCGATTCCAAGTCAGGGCTCGATCCCCAGTAAGGGGCGTGCAGGAGGCAGATGATCAATGATTCTCATCATTGATGTTTCTATCTCTCTATCCCACTTCCTTCCTCTCTATGAAATCAATAAAGAGTATATTAAAAAATTTTTTTTGAGAAGCAATAACATGAATACATTAACATGAATACAACTATAAGGAAGATCAATGGCATATTTTTTTCATTGCTCAATTTCAGACTGCATAACACTAAAGTTCTAATAGCTAATTATTCTTAAAATGCATTTCTATAAAATAAAATGTTTTATAATTATTTTTGAAATACAAATTTTTATTAATTTCCATTTAATTCTGATAAAAGTATTAATCCAATTCATTTATTGCACTAAATGTTCTTACTAAAATGTAACAAATAGTGATAAAGATTGTATTCTTACAAAATAGTTGAATTTCAATGATAGAGGTTAAAAATGCCAGGAATGCAATAACAAAAAGCATGTTGCAGGACCAGTCTTGGAATCTTATTCACATCAGTGCTAATAAAAATAAATAAAATATAACAGGTGTCCACAAAAGCATCATAATAAAAAGATTAGCTTTCAATCTATGCAACTTACTGTAAAAAGCCAAATCTATCCGTGACTTTGTAAACAAGGTAATCAGCATCTTCCCAAGGTTCAATCTCTGCACCTTCTCGTCCCTATAATAGTGAACAAAGAAGGGTGTTATTAGAAATCTATAAACCTGAGTAATTTTTTTTAAAAAAAGACCAAAATCAAGGAGTTCTTTTTTTTATGTATTAACAGTAAGAGCTAGAAATGAGGCACTATCCACTTAACTTTAAATATATATGCGCAATATAATCACTATTTTCTAGTTACAAACTTTGGAAGATACTATATGTAGCTAACATGTAACTAAGCTTTTTCTGTTGGTTTTTTTTTGTTAATCCTCACTGAGGATATTTTTCCATTGCTTTTCAGAGAAAGTGGTGGAAGGGAGGGATGGAGAGAGATGAGAGAGAGAGAGAGAGAGAAAACTGATGTGAGAGAGAAAAACATTGATTGGTTGCCTCCTGTACATGCCCTGACAGGTTCCAAGGATCGAACCTGGGACCGAGGTATATGACCTTGACTAGAAATTGAACTCTTCAGTACGTCGGCCAACACTCTAACCACTGAACGCACTAGCCAGGGCACATGTTACTAAGTTTTAATCAGAGTTGGGTTCCTGTAAATACCGGGAAAGCAGGGAGCAGCAGAGGATAAGAAAGTCACTCAAGAATGAGCCATCAAACTTTAAAATTTTAGAGTGAACCTGTCTTAGGAAAAAAAGTATTTCTTGTCTTTTCATCCAAACTTCTCACTAGAGTGGGCTATCCACCTTGTCTCTCTACTTCTTTACTTATAGATACATCAGCCCAGAAGTTATTCCTACCAAAGTCATAAATAATCTCCCACTGTTAAAACCAGTGGACACTCTTCTAAGGGAGTTTTTTGAAGCAGTTTGCAGTGTTGCTCACTCCTTATTCCTCAGCCTCCATGGCACCACCTCTCCTGGTTCTCCTCATGCCTTTCCAACTCTTTTTTGGTGGCTTTTTCACAGTATCTCTTCACTGTTGGTGTGGTCATAACTTTGTCCTCAGCCACTGCTTTCTCATTCTTGAAGCTGGTAACTAGCATTGTTGATGCAGATGCCCCAAATGTAGCTGTCTATACCAATGTTGTATGTGAGCACACAACAAACAAAGTAAGTATAATATACTAGAGGCCCGTTGCACGAAGATTAGCGCAAAAGGCCCTTCCTTCCTCTGGCTGCCGGCACACTGGTTTTCCTCTGACATCCAGGACCCAGGCCTTTGGTCCGACTGCAGCCAAGGCTTGGCTTCTCTGCTCGGGCTGCAGCAGCGAGGCTTGGCTTCTCCACTTGGGCCACAGCAAGGTTTGGCTTCTCTGCTCAGGCTGCAGTGGAGAAGCCAAGCCTCTTCAGTCTTCAGCCTGCATATGCAAATTAACCACCATCTTTGTTGGGTTAATTTGCATACTCATCCTGATTGGCTGGTGGGCGTAGCAGAGTGACACCAATTTGCGTGTTTCTCTTTTATTAGTGTAGATAGTATGTTGATATAATAAGTGCTATGGTGAAAAGTAAATAAGAAAAGGGGATATGGAATATAGAGGGTTTTAAACAATATGGTCAGTGATTTCACTAAGGTAGCATCTGGGTGATGTCTGAAAGCGGTAAGGTGAAAGAGGCATGAGCATGGTCAGGTTCTGTGTCTTCTCAGCAGAAGAAATAGCCAATGCAAAGGCCCTGAGTGAGAAGCAAGCCTGGTGCATTAGAAAACAGCAAGAATTTGGAGAGGTTGGTGTAGAGGGAAGGGAGGAGAGAACATTTGGAGATGAAGTCAGAGAAGGATGACCTCAATGGTCACATGAAGTAAACAAACTGGCTCTGTAATTTAAGTGCTCCAAAAAGCAAATCCTTTTCTATTTATATGTTGTTTTTATTAATAAAACTTACTCAAAGAGTAAATATGAATACTTACTCTATCATATTTAGCAACTATTTCAGCTCGCTCCTGGGCAAGTTTGAGTGCTACATCCTGGTCTGAATCTGTGGAGAGATCAAATTTAGATGAACTATTATTTAAGGAATCATAAAGTTAATTAATTATAAAACTGACAAAACAGATACAAATAGAAGAAATCCATACTGCCTAAGATGACAAATCAGCAAAAATCAAATAAACTTAAAAGGATGAGTTAAGTATCTGTAACTACAACCTTAAAATATCAACATATATATCATTTCAATATTATGTATAATATTGAAAAAAAAGCAACTTTGTTAACATAGCATTAACTTAGGGCAGTGGTTCTCAACCTTCCTAATGCCATGACCCTTTAATACAGTTCCTCATCTTGTGGTGACCCCCAACCATAAAATTATTTTCGTTGCTACTTCATAAGTGTAATTTTGCTACTGTTATGAATTGTAATGTAAATATCTGATATGCAGGATGTATTTTCATTGTTACATATTGAACATAATTAGAACATAGTGATTAATCACAAAAACAATATGTAATTATATACTGTTTTCCGATGGTCTTAGGCGACCCCTGTGAAAGGGTCGTTCAACCCCCAAAGGGGTCGCGACCCACAAGTTGAGAATCGCTGACTTAGGGGATATGATAAATCTTAACCCTCAAGATTCAATTTTGGATCTAATTTCAGAGAAATGAGTATTAAAGGAGAAACTGAAAGTAAAAACTCTCAGTTTTCAGATGAAGCCATTTGGGTAGATGATGAAGAGAGCATCAAGGCTCTTAAAAATTACTGGAACTCATCCACAAAGAAAACTAAAGCAAGTTATACTTTAGGAGTTTTTTTAAAAGAGTATTTCCCTTACATGATGAAAATAATCATTTCTTCATTTAACCTCTGAAGCCCCTCCCCCTTATCAATGTCCCAAATACTATGATAATCTTCAATTTTACCCTCCTCTCCGAAAATACACACACAAACACTCTTCTTTATTACCATCAGGTATCTTTCAAAAACACAAGTCTGATAACAAAAGTAGAGATCATAACATAAAATAGTATGAATATGACTATGCATACCAAGTACCATGCATAAAAATAAAAGACCAATGACAGATTACATAAATGGTACCAGTGATCAATAAGAAATCTTCCTTGATTCCAATGGAAGATTGGGTCAAGGTTATGAGCAAGAAATTCACAAGAGTAACAATAGCAGGAACAACTATATTTGTAATCTTACTAAGTGCTAGTAGAGAATAAGATACTGCCAGACAGCAGATGCTACTGTGAAGAGCACTTCATAACCCTCTAAGATAGGTATTCTATTAATCCCATTACACAGATGAAAAAATTAGGTTTAGAGATTTGAACCAACTTGTCTAAGGTCTCAACGCTAGTTAATAGCAAAGCCAAGATTCAAATTCAGACAGTCTTCACTCCATATAAGCATTACTTTATAAAAGTGATGACTAAAGAGAAGAAAAAGAACTTCCAATTAAAGATGGCATATGGAACACACATATCCATTCCTCCTAAAACGGAACTAAAATGACAATAGAGGATTCTTTAAAGCCCTTCCCTCAAAGGCTTAGCAAACGGTAATTCCTGAGGAGAACAAAGGGTGGGGTTAAAGGCATCAACTCTCTGAGAGTTGAAGGGATGTGCATATATGTACAGAGGTTGGGAGCACAGAACCTCACCCTCCATCCAAAGCATGAAACCAATAGATGATGACTAAAGCTGCAGAAGCAGGAAGTGGCAATAGACATGTGTTATCTTGCACTATGGAAGTAAACACAAAAAGAATCAGCTAGGGGAGTAGGCAGTGAGGAGGAAGGGGTATGGAGTCAGCTATTTTTCAAAGTAAGTCTTACAGACTGCTGAATCTTTAAACCAAGTATAGCTCTGATAAAAATAAAATCTAAATTTAAAAGCCATGACACGGGGGGGAAGGGCAAATCAAACTCATTAAAAACTAAAGATACACAAGTTTTAAAATATCCCTTTGCACCTACCTCAGACTAATCAAAAATGCAATGATACTGCTCAATGCTGACAAAAATGTGGGCAAATCTGAAGTATCTTACCCTGGGGGTAGAAGTATAAATGCATAAACCTTTCCAGAAAGCAATTTGATATTATGTATCAAAAATCTTAAAAGCAGGCATATCCTTTACCCAACAATTCCACCTCTAGGGATTTATGTCAATAAGATCATCAAATGAGCACAATATTGTTTATAATAGTAAAAATAGCAAAATGGGAACCTGTAAATTTTTAAAACTATATTTAGTAAAAAATGTTTATGCCACTGTTTTTCTTGGTTATATTATAAAATGTCAATATGCTGTCCTTTGGGGGAAATGTGAATACGTAATATAATGGTTTGAGAAAATAAAAATGCAGACTAGTTTAGATTTTTCATAGTAAACTAATGCAATCAGAAGTCTGGGATAATCAACCGTTATATACATACTAGAAGCCCAGCGTGTGAAATTGCGTGGCCTCGCCCACTCACGCAGCCCCACCATCCTCGCAGCCCTGCCCACCTGAGCCAGTCTTTGGTCGTTACAGTGTTAAGGTCACTGGGTTTATATAATATAGATTCTTTATCCTATTTTAGATTTATTAAACTTTGTCAAT